GGTTGAATCCAGATCTCCTATCCACACCTCTCTACAGGACACTATACCTGTGCATTAAGAATAGTAACATGTACATATCCAAGATATTCTCAATGTATAGCTGTGGTGTCCTGTGGGTAGGTCTGGGTAGGATCCTTGTGGGCAGGAGATTTGAATTCGTTAGTAGAGCACTAAAGCCGATCTAGCCCCATGAAGCAAAGAAAAAACAGTTAAATTGGTTAGTGACCCACTGAAACAGGCGATCGAACTGTCAATCCATTCAATCAAAATAATGGTTTTTCGGCCATGTTTTTATCTTAATTACTTTAATTTTTCATTTTTTTTAATGTCACAGGCTGATCTACTCGGACAATGGTCAAACCGCAAACTCAGAAACTGGTGGTAAAGCAGTTTCAATTCCGGATTGATTTTTAAAACATTAACCTGTACAATTTATGGTCAAGGCCCATAAATATAAGTGTAATTTGTCAAGTCTTTTTTCAAAGATCTTTTGAAAGATCTAACAGTTAAAAGTCAATGTGAGTTTTTGCATAAAGATCTTGGTAGTCCACAGACCATTTGGTGAAGGCACGTCTTTCCGTGTGAAGACGAGGCAAAAAAAAAAAAAAAAAAAAAAAAAACAAAAAACAAAAAAAAAAACAAAAAACTTCATTTGGGTCTTCTTGAAACGGGCTTTCCACTAATTTTCAGGACTGCATCTTTCAACGGCTAGATCTTTTTCCAACTAAACAAGAAAAACTGAAAAGACAAGTTGCCGGGCTTCTAAAAAGTCGACAACCCACACAAAAAGACGCCAAATGGAGCCATAGTATCAATTTTATCATTATATTGACCTATCAGGCCAGCTTGGATCTCATACCCATAAGTTCTTGAGATTGGATTCAATCCTCACAAGTAGGGCAGTAATTGGATCAGATTCAAGATCAGATGCAGTAAAAATCCGCATCCTCTCTGAATTCTAAGAAGCTACAGCCAAATCCAATCCAAAATTCAATCGGATTTAAATATTTGGATTCGAACTCGAACCCTAACAAACTCGGATTGGATTCGGATTTAATCTGACTCTATTTTAAATTCTCTAGTATGCCAGAAAATTTAAAAATTTATTTATTGTTTAACTTTTATATATAATAAATTAATATAAATATAATATACTAAATTTTACATATATAATTATATAAAATTTACATATTAAAATTAATAAATATTATAATATAATCGGATTCGGATTTTAATAAGATCGGGTGGGGCCAAATCCGATCTACTTATTAAATTGTAATATTCAAATCTAATCCGATTATATAAATACATCATATGAATCTGAGATAATCAGATTGGCCTCGAATTTTTGGGTATCATTAACAGGCCTATTCACAATATCATATCACAACCACTTGCAACCGTGTATTGAGAATATCTCTATACTCATAACACTGTGTTATTGTGGGTAGGAGATCAAGTAAAAGAACAAACCAACCAAAAGGAGTGTGTGCATATTATTTTACAAAGCGACACAGCTTACGTTGAAGTAAGGTGGTTGCGATGACATAAGAAACGTAAGCGCCAAAGGTTGCCGACTGGATCTGTTGTGGGGTGAGATGCTTTCCACTCCAGTCGCTCAAACTCGTGCTCGAAGGTTTATTAACCGAAACCCCGCTAACTGCATCGGCCAGATCCACCAAACCAAAAACACGGTACTTGTCATCAACCAAGGCCGAAGCAGCCATTGATCCCAGCTCAATCCCGTTTCTGCATTCCAGCCCATAGTCCCTCCGAAGTCTGGTGAGACTGTGTCCAATCCCGACCCCGGAGAATGAGAGATGGGGGCAAGAGAGAAAATTGGCAAGGGTGTTGGAGACAGATTCAAGGTGCAGAAGCTGTACGATGAGACAATGAGCTCCAGAGCAGAGTCTCAGTAAGGCCACCTTGTTTTCTATTCCATTTGCCGTCGACACAAACGCCCTCTCTGTGTCTAAGCCTACGGCCTTGAAGGATAGCTTGTTCATGATCATGTCCTAGAAGTGCAGAAGCTCCTTGTCCAACTCCGAGTTGGTACCGGTGACTTTTGTGTTCACTGATACACAACCCAATCTCACAACAGGCATCTCTCCTTGTCCTTAATTGGGATGGATCAGAAAAAAAATACACACACACACACCAGAAAGGATAGTTGTGATATGCCCCTTATTAGAATCTACAGAGCACCAAAGGATGGAACAAGGCAAGAATTCAATTACATGAACAATGAATTATGCTTGAGAGAAGACAATCAAATTTTGGGATACAAAAGCAAGAGCAAACATCTGTTGAAGGGTGAAGAAATAAACAGGGTATGCAATAATGATTTTGCTCAATTCTTAACTGACTAATTACAAGTATGCATGGCTTGGCCAAATTGATTTGTTAAACCACAAAACACCGATATCCATGAACAAAATCAAGTTAGGAAATAGGATCTCCAATTGAAAATACTGCAAAGTAAACACCAGACAGATACTTCTTATTGATGGAAGCTCCAATCATTCTAATTTGAATTTCTAAGCAAGACAAAAAGTTTCTACTGGTGCTAGTTCTCAGCAATCCTCACGATTCATACAATGTCTTTTGGCTGGCATATATATTGGTGAATTCTTTCTAGTGGGAAGAATCTGTTTTCTGTCCTAAATAGCAATGGGCGTGGTTTGCTGAAATCCTAAAGATGGCTAGTTACTAATTTAGTAGAAAGGAAGGAACTTGTCAATCCAGTGCCAGCCGTTAACCATTCTGTTAATCAGCCATTAAGTGACATTTGAAAAGACACAAATGCCCTTCAAGTGTCATCTAATTCTCTTTATCAACCATCCAAATGTTGATAAGAAATAAACAGTCCCAAATCCTTGTTTCTTCTATTCAAGAAAATTGGAATCACGTCTCAATTGGCATTTTGGTGACCCCAACTTTCTTGAATAGAAGCAAAGATTTAGGACTATTCATTTCTTATCAACGTTTGGATGGTTGATAAAGAGAATTAAATGACACTCGAAGGGCATTTGTATCTTTTCAAATGCCACTTAACGGCTGATTGACCGGCTAATTAACCGCAAGTACTGAATTGGCACATTTTAAAAGTTGGGTACTGCATTGTTGCATTTTAAAGTTTAGAGACCAAAATGACACTTGACCCAAAGTATAAGGTAGTAATCAGAAATTTTACCTAAAAAAAATACTTACTTTTGTTAACCTACCTCCCTTTTTCATTCTCTCTCTCCTCTTGTCCTTTAAATAGAGTGCCAATGTTGACTTCTAAGTGTCGAAGTGGAAGGAAAAAGGACGGAAATCACTTAGAGGTGATCAAAACCTCCAATACTTGGAGTCAACGGCCGCTTTTGCTCAATAAAGTTTCATACCATCATGTGTGTCCTGAAAGGATCACTTGATATCTTTGCTGGATGACCGTGGTTGTTTCAGCCAGTCAGAATTTTGATCAAAATGAGGATTCTGATTAACCATGAACTTATCATCCAATCTATCCAGCACCATAAATAGTTCAAATTTTAGAAAGGAACTAGGAGTGCTGGCTGCATATTCCCATTCCCCTGTTCAGATTTTCAGTCCAACAGCATGAAATCTCCAAGATAATAGCTAGTAGATTAGGGAAAATTCCAATTCACAGCCAAAAAAATCCTTTCCATCACCGATTGATTAAATGCGGAAGATATCGCGAGATGCCTAGATGCAGAAACGAAGAAAGGATTCTGGTTTCTTGCTAAGAGAGATGAGGAACAATGAAACAACCATGATAACGGAAATGCATCCCAATACTCCGCTACAACCAGCAGTGGACTTTACCAACTAGCCAGCTGGCAACTTTCTAACTCATTCTCTCGATAATTTACCTTGAGGGAAACGCAAGGAACCAACTCTGGGTTGATCAACCCTCTCAATGGCTCTTTGCCTCTTTCCACTATGTCAATTGTCTTTGATAAAGGTCCTGCTACTGCACTCGGCAGGAGACTTCAAGAACGAGCTTGATTACACCATCAGTCAATTAGCTATATCCTGACTTGTCAAGGACAATTTTAACCATTAAATTAATAAAATTATTATTAATTCTCTTCAATATTTTCTTTCCTTTAAGCGATTATTAATACATTAAATATCAGCTTTTTTATTAATATAATAATTATTGCTTCTCATAAATTTGTATTATAATTATATTCTCAATGCAAATGTAAATTGCAAATTAAATGGTATTATTTTTAATGTTTTCTAACCTATACTCTTTAGATTCTATAAATTTCACCCTTTTGTTTTACCCTTCATAATGGATACTTATGATTTAATACATATATATATTCTTAAAAAAAAAGATTATGAGGCCCTTGTATATAAGCATTGGTAAGGGTGTCAGTGGACCAGTTTTGGATTGGACCCCGCCCAGTCCAAAAATCAATTTGGACGAATTGAACGGACCAACAAGACATTGGATTGGACCAATCCGGTCCAAAATATTTATTAGACTGAATTGGACCTGATCCATTTATAACAAATTTATATGGATTCGGTTGGATTAAGCCAATTTCTGGTCCATTGATATAAGATAAGAATATATGTGTCAATGGACCGGGTTTGAGTTGAAACCAATCTAAATCAAAATGAATTTGAACAGATTGGACGATCCAGACATTGAATTGGACCGGTCCAAATTGGTCCAAAACATTCATAGGATTGGATTGGACCTAGTTCATTTATAATGGACTCACATTGGACTGGATCCGATTGGACCAAATCCAGTCCAACTGACACCCCTGCATTGGGGCATACTAAAATCCCTAATATTGTCCACTATAATGCTGTGTTTGCTTGATAGAAAAATAAGAGAAATAGAAAGTTGTCTAGGAATTTCACAACAATCATTAAGCACGTTCCCTCAAATTTCTGTTTCTCTCTTCTTATTTTCTATCAAACGAAACACAGCTAAGTGAACTATCAGGGGGACACATGGAAACCGACACAGAGAATATCCAATCCAACTATACGGGGCCAGATCACATGATTCTGACTCTTTGAAGCATAAACTACTATTTGGAAAGTTCCTTGTGTACAGGAGCTCTTCGGAGAAATCATGTCAAGGAAATAAGATGGTTAAAAGGAAAACCTGGCAACCTCTTCGTCTTCACCTTCGTCCATCTCATCTTCCACTTCCTCTGTGAACCTTTCATAATCATCTTCATCTTCTTCCTCTTCTTCCCCATCTTCATCCATCATTGATTTAATGCTAGCATCCTTGTCCTTCAAACCCGTACTCAGTACCATTCTTTGGCCATGGGACTTCTCCATATCCCTCCTTAGTTTATCCATGTTTTCTTGGCGACGCTCTTCCTCCAACCGCTGTTTCTCTGCCCATCTCTTGTCAAGATCAGCCCTGAAAACACAGGAACAGAAGCATATATTCATGAAACATACCCCACCCTCAGCTAAAAATAATAATTATAAAATTAAGTTATCTATTCTTCTTTTTTTCTAGAGTAAGGAGAAAACAAAATGAAGATGTCTTGCAGCAAGTAGTACTTGTAAGTTTCCATGAACTCGTTGGCACTTGATTCAATGACCTTAAAGAATTCTTCCATTCCAGCACCTGAAACTGCAGAAACTCCAACGGAGTGGAGATTCTTATAGAATTCGTCGAGTACAAGTGAAAGGCTCCTTGTTAGAGTTGATGTGTAGGAATTGTCAGACTCTAAGGCAGCATGGAATGCCTCAAAATCTTCCATCCACTGCTTCCACAACCAAATAAATTCAAAAAAAAAAAAAGAATGTGATAATGATAAAGTGAAAGCAAGAAATGAGAATTCTACTGCATAAGAAATCAAAAGGCACTACTAAATACAAACAAGTAATGTTACCAGTGCTGCAATCATAGAGACATGGAAGTTGGGACTCAAAGCATGTACAACAGTTTTGACTTAGCATGATTGGAAAAAAAATGGACCCCCAGGATATGTCTAAAAATGGTTTTTATTACTTAGAAATTTCTGTACCTTGTCAGTTCTATCCTTATATACCTATAGACGGCTGCACAAGTAAAATTAAAAATCTTTACTATTTAAAAACATGTGGTGGGAAAATATGGAATTCATTTATACAAATTAGAAGCTCATTCGTGTCAAACAAGAAAAGAGAGAGGGGAATCATATATAGAAGTGTGCCCTCAAGAATCCATGGAATGTTGGAATTCAGCATGTGTCTGACAAAGAAACTTCATCCATTTAGAGGATCCCATGTAATTCCATTATTATCATCAAGGTACTTTTTTTTTTTTTCTGAAGCATTACCCAACTCCAACCTAAACATTGTTTTTTTCAACTTCTACTTGGTGGAAATTATAGCTCATGTTACCAGAGCTTGTAATGGGTATATCTTCAAGATATCTTCAGTAGGTTTTTGTTGCAAATATTGTTAGTTTATTCAATAAGTTTGGAAAATCAAATATTTTGTAGATCCTAAAAGAACTTTTTTTTTTTTGTAGAAATACTCTAATTTTTCTAGTTCATTTGGAAGACTGAATGATGAAGAGTTTTTTCTACTAACTTGTTTAGTCCTGACTCTGAACTTTATGAAGATACTCATTCCATTTCTAGGTGCTGTCTCCTAAAGACATTTAATGGTTTTGAGCTCATTCTGATCCATCTCTAGTTTCTAGCAGGTACTCTGTTCTTTTTTGGGTTGAATATTACTTTACTATCTCTTTTATTATTTTCAGAATTGCTATTTCTATTGTTTTTCTCTACTGATGAATCATCCCCTACACTTATTTCTTTTCTTATTTTTCACTATCTTCTTTTAGTTGTTGGTTCTGTTATAAAGTTTCTACAGTCACTGAACACCATTGCCTAGAAGAGATCGGCTTTGGTCAGGGCATGCCCGTGCTCACACCCTGCGAACAGCCTCTTGCAACCTTGCATCGGGAATATCTCCCCATGAAATAAAGGACATAAGTACGGAGATATTCCCAATGCAAGGCTGTAAAGGCTGTCCGAAGGGGCATTGCCCTGACCGAAGCTGAACTATGCCTAGAATTGTTCCCCTTGTATTCTCTTAATTGTTGAGCATAATTTTCAAGGCACCAAAGGTGAGGCTAGGCGACAGGGGGGTGCCTTGGAGCTCAGTCACCTAGGCGGTGGATTTTTTTAAGTGAAAAATACATATCCTGGGTAGTTCCCTAGGTTCCATAACCATCTTTCCTTGATAACTATCCATAATTTTCATAAGAAAATTATAAACTTCATGTTTATGTCTAGAAAATAAACATATTTATGAGAAGAAAAATAAGAAAGAAAAGAATATTCAATAAATATGGGGACTGTACCCCTGTTTTTGTTATGGGAAAAGAAGAAAAGAAAAGGTGGAAGAAGAAGAATGTGTTGATTAGACAAAACTTTAAGTTTTTCCCTTACTTATTGGTACTGCTAGGCGACTGGGCGAGGCAAGACTCCAAGGGTGCCTTGTCGCCTAGGCATCACCTAGGCATCGCCTTGACAACTATGTTGTTGAGTACTTTTAATGGAGCAAAAAGTGCACCTTCATTTTTCTTAATAAAAAATATTTTTATTAAACTTCCTCCTACTTCCTCCTCATCCCCCCCTCCTCTTAAGGAGGCTTACGCCTCTTATGTTCTGAACTACGCCTCACACCTCTAGGTAGTTGAATGCCTCGCATCTCGCCTCAGCATTTTAAAACATTGATTAGTTTCTAGGAGTCCAAGTTAGTCTTGCGTTTAAGCAGTCCAGGGAATCCCTAGCCTCTGCAGAGTAGTGGATCAATCTCCAAGGTCCCCCTCCTTGTCCCTTAACCATTTTATAGTATTTTCTGAGTCACCTGCAATGATTTAAGTTCTGAATTCCCAGGTTTTTTTCTATTCTGATTCCTGTGAGAGTAGCCATCACTTGGGCGATTGTAGAGTCAGCCGATCCAATTGGACCACTGAAAGTCCAGCAGATGTTACCCTTCTTATCCCTTAAAATGCCTCCTATGCCAGCATCAACACCATCATGCACCTCAGGGTGTTTTGAGGGCGCCTCCAAGTGTACGCCTCGCCAGCCTTCTAAAGTATTGGTTTCGGTCATTATTTTCCACTGGGCTGGTCTCACATATGGTATTTTCTCCTACTCCAACTAGATTCTCAATAAATTTCTAATCAAAGGATATTGAAAGTACCAGATTACATTTCCAATAAACCAACCAATTGTCCTGGTATAAAAACCTGCTGAATCTACAACAGAAATTCAATGTCATTCAGACATGTATGATGAGCAAGGCTGGTGGAATTTTTTCCCCTAAAACAGAAGGTGAAGCACCCACTTTTCCTCTTTGAGTTGTTGTGAGCAATAGCATGATCTTCAGTATTGTAGAGAACACTGATGTGGGCCCCACAGCTGTGGTCCCACTTGTCCATAGGGTAGAATGTGCCCTAGTTATCCTACGGTTAGCTGATGGTCAATCTGCTATTCCAGGTGTTATTTATATTTCAGTTTTATATTGTTTTATATGTTATGTAAATACCAAGGGCAGATTTGTCCTTTCATGTAACTAGCATAACCTATAAATACTAAATAGAAGTGGCGGCGACAGAACATTCAGATTCTGTCATTCCTTTCAATTCTTGTGTTCTACTGCTCTCTCTCTACTCTTTCTCCTCTCTCCTCTATACCTTTTTCTCCTTTTTC